CACGATTATCTTCTGTGTCTGTGTTAATTGGTTTCCCTTTTCTTTGTTGAAGAGGGTCTGTGCAATCCTTCTGCCTAGTCCGCCATCTTGCCGGAACTCTCCAATGTTGTCAGTTTAAAATGAGATTAGAAATAGGAAAGAAACCTAAAAGCTAATGATGAACTTCACCATTGGGATCTGCTTATAGGAAAACCATATTCCATCACTAGAATCTATCCTCCCTATTTGTGGCCTCAGTTAAAAGGAAGAAATGACTACTTTGATAACTTCTCTAACCTCTCCCGTTCTTACTATAGGTCATTGTAGATTGTCAGATGAACCTTTTGGTTAAACCATTTCTCTGTCTTGGATTGGAAGCAGAAGTAACCTACAAACCCCAGCCATCCCTTCTTCCTTTATAAATCTGGGAACTTTTACATTCTTCTTCTCATGACTAGGTATTTTTAGGCGGTACCATTTTATTCTGGTACCCTCAGCATCTTGTCCAGGATCACATATCCAACGAATATATAATAAAAGGAAAAAACAAAACAAAATCATCCCTCTCATATTTGGTTACAGACTATATTTAAAATAAGAGTAACAGACTAGACAAAAAGCGAAGGAAATTTTTATTTCACAAATGAAAAAGCAAAATACTACTACTGAAATGACCTTGAAGTCATACTTTGCCACTGATTTTTCCAAGTTCACTAATTAATTCCATCACCATCAGACTAAGCCTCTGGAAGAATAGATCAGATTTAACCATGAAGCAGAGATGTGGCAAGATTAAGCAAAGGAAGTGACTATAGCTATCTCAAGTTCTTCTTCTTCTTTGGAAATGTTCTTCATGGCCATATCAGACTTAAAACAGGGACTGTGACTGTCCTAGCCAGAAAACGTTCAAGTTGTATCACAGAGAATTGTAGACAGTAGTTCTACCTTCATCCGGTAATATCCATGTTGCTCAGAGAGGTCTAGCTACACCAGGCTATTCTTTGCAATAGCATTCAAAGTCCTTACTTTGGTCACATCCGTTACCTTTAGAGAATATTCTGAGTTAGAAAGTAAGGCTCCCATGGAAACACAGGAATTTCTGCAACAGAAATAACACAGGAACAAATAATTATATAATGTGTTAGGAGAAACTCTCACTAAACGAGCCTTCTTTGCGGTACTTCCTTTTATAGGCTAGTGCACAGTACAAAAGCAGGGGTGGATCAAAACGCTGGGAACTGCTATATGCCGTAACTTTCATTTCCTGAAACATCTAGTCGCCAAATCTACCAGACAGTATATTTGATTTTCTATCTGGAAATGTAAGTTTTAAGGCTCTTGCTTCTTTTACATCTTAATTTTTTCTAACCCATAAATAAAAATAACAACTACCAACTATTAAATTACAGGGATTCAATCAAGTATAATATGAAACACAAAATAGTTTCAATTCCTTAATGGTGCTATAATTGCAAAAGAACTGAAGAGAGGAAAGGGAAGGTAGACTACATTTTAAAGGTAAGAGGAATAAAGATGACTAAGTCTTCCATCCTTACACCATAGTTATTACCTTTGCTAAAGGAAAGCACGGGCGAATGGGCACACGTGCATATTTAACTCATCTGAAGCTCAGCTGCTAAATTAAAACTTATTACTAATTGGTCTAAGTCAGTAATGCTTTAAGGATATGGAGGTTCAACTATGGTCAGAAAAGTGGGCTTATTTAAGACAAGATAAGAACAATTTCAGGAATGTTTTTCAACTAATACTTATGGTATTAATCACACATTCCATTCACTAATCTTGACATTAACTAAAGTTTTCCTATTTGGGGAAGTAAAGATTAACTCCACCCCTTCTTATCTGAGTCAAAAAAACGTATTTTTTACCGAAACTTCATTCCTGAGTCTCTGGCAGACCTAGCAGAACAGTGGAATTCTGTAGCACCTGAACCTTCAAGGATCCTTTGCAGATTTCTGTCTGTTATGCCACCCCCTGTCAGAAACAGTAAGTAATACAGTAAGTAGAACAGAATTCTGTATAAAACTTAGTGAATAATAATTGCTTGCTGTATTGAAATTTCTCATTAATTCAAGAATTACTATCTCCCTACTAAGAGATAGAAAGAAATGATAAAAGACATAGACTAAAGACTCTGGAAAAGAACTAGTAAGATCAAAGAACCTGTATGACAGAATCTCGTATGTCCCACTGGTTTATATAACAATGCCATACTTTACTAACTTTAACAAATTATCCTGTGGCAGCAAGGGTTCAACGGTCTTGAAGAAAATCATTGAATGTTCCATCTGTGCTTTAACCTCAAATAAATCAAACAAAAGCTAAGAACAGGCTTGAGGAAAAGCTCTAAAACACAGCCTCAAAGAGAAGTGTTTGAAAGAGAGAACCCTGGATGCCCAGGACTCAAAAAGTGTGCCGACCTCACTGGAAATGGGAATAATGTAATAATAACGCTAATAATATAGCATTATATAGATTATTTAATTACTGTATTGTAGTAATTTTTAATTTTATTTCATAGAAGAATCTGATTCTACTTTATTAACACTGCACAGCCAAGTAGTTTATGATGACTCACTTGTTTTGATGAACAATTCAAATGCTATTAAATGCTTTTAAGCACTGCATTGATAACAGATTATAAATATGAAATTCCTTTATTCATCTTTACATCCTTCATCAATTACAACACCTAATATTTTGGATGTACTCAATAAATATTTTTGAATGACTGGTTAAATATTTACTTTGTATCTCAGGCTACTGAAGTTGCTGAAATGACTTGTCTTTACACTCTTTCAAACTCATTAACTTGGCTTTTTTTTCCTTACTAGGACAGTAAGGAAAATACTTACTAGTATCAGTGGTCCTAAGAAGTAGAAAGAACATAGACTGTGAAGGAGATTTAGACTGGAATCTAGCTCTCCCACTGTAGATGTTCACATCCGAGTGCCCTTAGAGAAATGACTTAAATCCATTGAGTCTCACCAATATTTTCTCACCAATAAAAAACGGATAATAATATCAACCTCTCAAGCATATTGTTAAGGATTAAAATAAGAGAGAAATATGTTATTTCCTTCTAATAAATAAAATGTCTGGCCACTAAAACACATGTTGCTCAGTTATTAGCAATTTTAGCATTTAGGTAATTCATTTTCTAAACATAGACTAATTCTGCTTAAGAGTTAAAAAGGACAAAGAGAACTAGTTCAATATTCCCTCTTCATAGATAAGAAAACTAGAGCCTAAGTATGTTGTAAGCCTCATCATGAAAGCCCCTAGAAAGCAACTACTATGTTCTAATCTTTATATTTTCCAATGATGAGCACACATTAGGCATTCAAGCATTCAGGTTGACTTGCCTAGGGAATTTTTACTCACTGGTACATAATTATCTGAAATTGTAATAATCTGTTTATAGATCTATCTATGAATGCCTCAAGTAAAAGGATTATTTCATATTCATTTCTGTATTTTTCATATCTGGCACAGAACCTGGCTTATCATTAGCATTTTCTTCATAAGGTCTGTTAAACAAATTAATCACAAATACTTTTGTATATCAAATCTTCCCCTTAAGACTGTAAGCCTCTTGAGGAATTTTCTTATATAACTCTGTACCCAAAGTCATACCTTGCACGTAGCAGGTAACTTAATAATATATTAAGGAAAGACAATAGTAACAGTTGTTTAAGTCTAGATATGAGTTGCCAATGTGAAAAAAAATCTTGATTCACCAAGTCTCCTTAATCTTCTCTGATTAACATCTGCTGTATGCCTTCAAGTCGATTCTCACTTGTAACGACCCTATGTGACAAAGCAGACTGCCCCATAGAATTTTCCAGGCTGTAATTTCATGGGAGCAGATCACTAGGTCTTTTCTCCTATAGAGCTGCTGGTGAATTCAAACTGCAGACCTTTTGGTTAGTAGTCAAGCACTTAACCATTGTACCATGCATGCCAAGGCTCCCTGATTAATCTATAAAGGGCTTTAATTTGACAGACGGTTTATGTTTTCCAACCATCATGTTTCAGGAAATTGCTAAGGTGAAAGCCTTTCTAAATTTCTGATAGCATCCCTCTTCTTGGTCCCTTTTCACTAGCAGCTTTTTATCTGGCTGTTGTCATTTAAACCCCATAATCATTCTTAGCATCACTGATAATGAGATGACCAGATATCATATGCCCTGTGATGTGATGTAAAGTGAAGCATAGAGAGTTACCCATGAAATATTCTGACCAAAAACATTTAACCAGAATATAATCAAATATTATGATCTACCCATCAGTTTATAGGAAATATGGAGACTAGAAGAATAAGTTAAACAGTATCAAAAGTAAATAACCTGATAAATCCAGAAAGTAGGATGTTCTGTAGGACAAGTGACCCAGTTTATTTTAATGCCATTTGAAAAAAAAGGCAAGAAAAAGAAAAGGAGACCTTCTATGTTATAAGACATTACGTCTCTTGGATATATACCTAAGAGTGGAACTGGTGGGTCACATGGTACCTTTTTGTTGAACCTTTTGAGGAAACACCATTTATTGTTGGGGGAAAAAAGGCATTAAGAAAGATAATGATCAAATGTAATGTTTATTCCTTGACTGGATATTGGTTTGAACATGATTGTAGAAAACATTCTGGGAACAACTGGAAAAAGGTGATTATGGACTGAGTCTTAAATGGCATTGTTGTTGTTATTGTTATGTGCCCTCAAGTTGGACCCGACTCATAGTGACCCCTCCTTGGGTTTCTGAGGCAGTATCACTATGGAAGTAGATTGCTCAACTTTCCTTCCGAGGAGTGGCTGGTGGGTTTGAACAACCAGGCTTCTGGTTAGCAGTCAAGTGCCTTAGGCACTATGCTACCAGAGCTCCCATTAGTATTTTGATGATATGATTATAATACTGTAGTTATACAGGAAAAATGCCCCCTTTAAAAGTGATGGCTTTAATTTAATTTTAAAATACCTTGAGAAAAAAAGATGAAGGAAATATGGCAAAATATTAAGTCTAGAGGAATGGATATATGAGTATTTATTATACTGTTTTTCACTTCTTTATATGTTTGATAAATTTAGTAATAAAAAGAAAAAGTTAGGATTGCCTTTTTTATTTGTCTCACTGATTCCAGTTTGCTTTATCTAATTTTAAAAAAATTGCCACATCTGTTGAAATCTAATAAGCCACTATATATATAGTTAATCTTATGGTTAACATCAAGAACATATAATCAAATTATTCTGGCTGTAAGGAAGAATTCAGAGATCAGAGATTTTCAGAAACTGGGAGTATTATATTTATCTAAATGTTAGCTTAACAACTAGGCCTAAACATTTGTTAACAACCAGGATTTCTGGCCCTAACACAGTGAAGCAGCATCAAATGTGCTGCGCCTCACAAGAGAGAAGCATCACATTTACAGGGGTCTACATGACGGGAAGAACAAACATGAAGAAACCCCAATCCTAGTCTACTTCTTTATTTGCTCTTCTATGAGCTAACCCTGCCAGAATGTTATCCTTCTTCTAAGGTTTCCACCTCCAGCAGGCCACCACCAACGGTTGCTGTCAAGTTGATTCCAACTCACGGATACCCTATGTTGTCAGAGTAGAACGTGCACCACAGGGTTTTCAATGGCTACTTTTACGGAAGTAGATCACTAGGGCTTCCTTCTGAGGTGTCTTTGGGTGGACTCAAACCTCCAACTCTTTGGTTAGCAGCTGAGCACGTTAATTGTTTGCACCACCCAAGAACTCCATTTACAACACAGATCCCCCAGTCTTAAACAGTTTAATCAATGTTCTATCCAAACACCATGGACTAATACTTGCTCCCACATTTTCCTGCCTCCTCTGCTCCTCCTTTCCTACAGTTCAGGGTTATAGCTAGTGAATGGATATATAAATAAATACCTGGCATTACCACAATCCTGCCTTTTGCCTGAAAAAAGAAAAAAAAAGTAAATTTTAATATCCTTCTCTTAAATGGGGCAATAAGGCAGTGAGAACAGAGATATAAGTCAAAATATACTACGTTAAAATATTACTATTAATGTCTAATTTCCAATAGATATCTATTTCTTCAGAATCTTGGACAAGAAAAATATACAGTATACCAGATCTCTCTATCCAAAAAGTTTATTATGTTGCCTTAAAGACCTTTACTATTAATATAGGTCTTTAAAGACTACAATATAAATACTAGATAATCACACTCCCTTCAGAAAAGTCATTATTAAATATGACACTAATTAAATTATGAGTTCTTAGCATGCAAGGAGATGAAAGTAGTTGAATCTAAATAATGATTTCCCTGAAAAAAATGAGCATAAAGCCAATTCTAAATAAATAGATGATTGAAAAAAAAATTCATTCAAATCCTGTATCCTCAACTATATTCCCCTTATGTCAATTAAACAAAACCATAGGTACAGTTAACTGGTTCTTATGAAGTAAAACTATACTATATGAAGTTATTTAATTTCTCATAATTCTGGAAAATAAATACTGAAATTTTATTAAAATTTTAATTCAAAATTTCATTTTTTAAAATCAATTTTAGCAGTATACTCAGTATTACTGAACATCAAAGGGAAATTAGTCCATTATAAAATGTGTAGTTGGTTAAACTGCTAGAAAGCAAATAGGTAAAAATGACAAAATAAAAATTACATAGTATATCAAGCTCACTAATTTGCTGAATAAAATTAGTCAAGTTATGCATAAATTGAATTTTTTTTCACATATGTATTCCCTAAAATGAATTTTTAATGCCAGACCAGCCAATCTTGCCACCAATCACAATTTCAAGTCATTTGCCTCAACTGTTCAGCCTATGTATGCAGTAAGGGCTGAGTAAAGAATCTATGTTCTATTGAGTGCTCTTGAACTACAACAAAAATTCAATCAATAATCACATATAACTTAGTTTCTTTTTCCATAAAAAATATGAAGCATCCAACTATTATATCTAATAAATTAATGTTGAAAAAGATAACATGGGATAAAAGATAACAATACTTTATTTAGTCTACATCATGTCTGAAACAAACAAACAAAAAAGCCAAACTCACTGGCATAGAGTTGGATCCAACTCTTAGTGACCCCTCCTTGGGTTTCCGAGGCAGTATCACTATGGAAGCAGATTGCCCAACTTTCCTTCCAATGAGTGGCTGGTGGGTTTGAACCGCCAGCCTTCTAGGTTAGCAATCAAATGCCTTAGACTCTATGCCACCAGAGTTCCCACATCATGTCTAGATAGGATAAATGAGAAAATAGAAAGATTCCCTTAGTGTAGGGAGGAGAAAATGGGGAAAAAAGAGAGAGATAGTGTACAAGGTAGGAAGAGGGGTAAAAGGGAAAATAAAAAGGATGGAAAAGGGCAGATGAAAACAGAAACATAAAGAAAAGAATAAAGCAAAAACTAACTAACATCAAATGCAAAGAAGAGAAGAGAAGCAGAAAATCTCAGAAGTAATGATAAAACAAAAGCAGTGAAAAGGGAAGGTAATGAGAGTAGGGAGGGAAGGGTTATGAGCAGAGGAAGAAACAACTCTCCTCCCTACTTTTAAGATGAGTTATAGACACTTCAATGTGCTCTAAGTAACCATTGGGAAGCCCTGGTGGTATAGTGCCTAGGGCATTTGACTGCTAACTAGAAGGCTGGTGGTTAAACCCACCAGCCACTCCTCAGGAAGGAAGGTTGGGCAATCTACTTCGTAGTGATATCACCTTGGAAACCCAAGGAGGGGTTGCTATGAGTCAGATCCAACTCAATGGCAGTGAGTTAGTAAGTAACTATTGAAGATTTCTCCCAAGTCTGCAGTCTGAAATTGACCGAGCATTCGATCAAGATGTGTTGATTATCACTGGTGACTGGAATGCAAAAGTTGGAAACAAAGCAGAGTTACCAGAAGTTGGAAAATACAGTCTCAGTGATAGAAATAACGCTGGAGATTGCATGATAGAATTTTGCAAGACCAACAACTTATTCATTGCAAATATCTTTTTTTAACAACATAAGCAATGACTATACACGTGGACTTCACCAGATGGAATACACAGGAATCAGAATGACTACATCTGTGGCAAGAGGAGATAGAGAAGTTCAGTATCTTTGGCCAAAAGAAGGACAGGAGCTGATTGTGGAACAGACCATCAACTGCTCATGTGCACATTCAAGTTGAAGTTGAAGACAATTAAAACAAGTCCACAAGAGCCAAAATATGACCTTGATAATATCCCTCCCAAATTTATAGCCATTTAAAGAACAGATCTGATGCATTGAATACCAATGACCGAAAATCAGAGCAACTGTGGGATGACATCAAGAACATCATCCATGAAGAAAGCAAGAGGTCATTAAAAAGACGAGAAAGGAAGAACACACCAAAATAGATGTCAGAAGAGACTCTGAAATTTGCCCTTGTGCAAAAGAGTAGCTAAAGCAAATGGAAGAAATGACAGATAAAAGAGCTGAACAGAAGATTTCAAAGAGCAGCTTGAGCAGACAAAGCCAATCACTATAATGAAATGTGCAAAGACCTGGAGTTAGAAAACCAAAAGGGAAGAACACGCTCGGCATTTCTCAAGATGAAAGAACTGAGAAAAAATTTGAGCCTCGAGTTGCAATACTGAAACATTCTATGGGCAAAATACTGAATGATACAGGAAGCATCAAAAGAAGATGGAAGGAATACACAGAGTCACCGTACCAAAAAGAATTGGTTGCTGTCCATCCATTTCAGGAGGTGTTCAAGAATCAATAGTATTAAAGGAAGAAGTAAAAATTGCACTGAAGGAACTGTCAAAGAACAAGGCTCCAGGAAATGATGGAATACCCACTGAAATGTTTCAACAAACGGATGACTCTGCTGGAAGCACTCACTCAGTTATGCCAAGAGATTTGGAAGACAGCTACCTGGCCACTGACTAGAAGAGATCCATATCTGTACCCATTCCAAAGAAAGGTGATCATACAGAATATGGAAATTATCAAACAATATCAGTAATATCACATGCAAGTAAAATCTTACTGAAGATAATTCAAAAATGGTTGCAGCAGTATATTGACAAAGAACTTCTAGAAATGCAAGCTGGATTCAGAAGAGGATGTGGAACGAGGGATATCACTGCTGATGCCAGATGGATCTTAGCTGAAACCAAAGAATACCAGAAAGATGTTTATGTTTTATTGACTATGCAAAAGCATTTGATTGTGTGGATCATAACAAATTATGGATAACATTGAGAAGAATGGGAATTCCAGAACACTTGATTATA